CCTTCCAGGTGTTCACAGACTCACAGATTCTGCTCCAGAATCTTTTCTGGTATTGATGTCAGACTAACTGGACGATAATTGTTGGGATCCTCTTTTTTCCCTTTTTGAAGATGGGGACAATGTTTGCCCTCCTCCAGTCCGTTGGGACTTCTCCTGTTCTCCAGAAGTTCTTAAAGATTATTGCCAATGGTTCCGATATTACATTTGCCAGTTCTTTTAATACCCTTGGATGTAATTCGTCTGGTCCTGGACTTATATTCATTTAGATTAACCAGGTATTCCTGTACTATCTCTTTACTTATTTTGTGCTGAAATTCTCCTATTCTGTTCTCTGCTCCATTATCCTCAGGTTGAGCACCCTTTGCCTTTTATGAGAAGACTGAAGCAAAGAAGGTGTTGAGTAATTCTGCCTTTTCTTTGTCCCCTGTTAACTTTTTGCCATCTTCTCCACACAGCGACACTACATTTCCTTCTTCTTTTTGCTTTGAGTTAAAACAAAGCAATACAATTAAGACAATATACTAAAAACAAGGGATCAGTTGTGCCAACCAGGTAAGATTAAAAACCTTGCAGCAATTTTGAGACAAGCTGAAAGATAAAAGTTGGTAACATGAGTTTTCATAGACTTAACCCTACTCCACCAAATGCATCTGAGGTAGTAGGCTTAAGTCTATAAAAGTTCATGCTACCAACTTCTATCTTTCAGTCAGTCTCACAGGTGCTGCAAGATCGCTTTGCATTAAAACTGAGGATTACTGCCAGTGGTCTTTCTTCTGCACAATGGTTAAGGACCTTTCAGAATGATAAAGCTATGGAAGCTAATGAATTCTAAAGGTCCAAGGGATGTCCTTGCTGTGCTTTTGTCAAAGCCCTGGCAACTGACTTAAGCACTCAAACATCCTCACTTCCTTTGAATTGAGCTTGAAAGGCTCTTTGGTATACAGCTTAGTTGAGGCAAGGAAGCAAGAGGGAAGACTGATAGAACTCAAGGGGAAGAAAGATTCAGGCCAAGTCCACCCAAACATAGGGAAAGACTTTGTGTAACAAATGTGTGTAAGCATACATATGAGTGAAAGTGTGAAGTTCTTGTATTTCCTCTGATATAAATATCATGTACAACATATAGATAGCCAGAGACCTATGTTAGCGTGGTTACGCAGCTCGTGAAGATCCACGTAGTCGTGCAGCACCAGGATCATGAACTTCTCTGATGCAGCAGGTAGCTTGTCAGCTGGAGAAGCACCTCTCCCCTTCCAGATAGAGTAAGGAGACTCTACAGACACTCTCAGATGAAGCTTTAATCTTAGTTCCTCTATATACAAGGCTATTTACAGTAATGATCCAACGCGACTATTCACAACCCAACATACATCAACCCACATGTGTGTCTAGAGGCTTCTGCCTTATATAGCCATGCCTCCACATGGCTTTCTGGCCCTGCCTCTTCCTCCTGGACACCTGTCACTCACCTGAGTGACTCTGCAGTTTTACAGCAGTTCAACGTGCTTTACAGAACCAGGTGACCATCCCCATGATGTCACATCCTATGACACAGCATGAGTCTGCACGACTCAGCAGTGATCGAATGCTGTGTCATCATGGCTGCTGCTATTCCCCCACATTGTATATTTTATCCCTGGGACTCCTTCCTAACAACCTAATCCCATATAGACCATATCTTCCAACTGTTTATATTTAGCAAGGACAGTCCTGACTAATCCTCTGCTATCCCATTTTTTTCAGCAGCCTTTAAAATGTCCCAGTTTCTCTCCTCCCCCTATTTTACCCCTATGTCCTCAGCTTACTTCCATTGCTACAAACTAAATTCAAAGTACAGAAGTCATTTGCACTCAGTTAACCCAGATAAAATCTTGCCTTTCCCTGTAGACAAAGAAAAAAGCAAACTGCTTCAGTTTCTCCTCGCTTCTGTATTCTTCATTAATAACTTTTGCAATCCTGATTCCACTCTGATGTTGCTTGACCACATGTAGCCCAGTTTTCATTTGTGAATGTTAGGGGGCATGGTATACATTTAGCTATAAAAATGTGGCCCATAATTAATTGCCTAATTGTTCTGCAGTACTACAAGAAGATGTTTTATTATTCCACCTGTTCCACAGAAGGAATTTCAGTTTTTTCCTCTTGACTATCCTCTCATGTTGTTTGGTCACATGAGTTCAGGTTTTCATCTCTGAAATGCTGGAGTATATGGAAGGTGAATATTATCTACCCTGACAGATACATAATTTTAGCGTGCCAAAGAAATGTGAACCAAATATATAGTTATTTCTTATATACTGTCCTCTCAAAATAACTTGTCTAAGTACACCTAAAAACAGGGAAGGAGAAGGAGAACAATCAACAGGCATGGGATAGGAGGGACAGGAATTGCTTCCAGGCCAGTTGATTATGGAGACAGGCATGGGAAATATGAGGGGGAAGAGATCCAGATAAACAAGTCCCTAATCCATGTAAAACCCAGCTAACAAAATAATATTATAATTCTTGGATCACACCCAGGGCTGGGTTCAGTATCTAGGAATTATTTTTGTTTCCAGGGATTTTAATTTGGCAGCCTCAGTAGCAGCACGATTTT